TAATAATATTATTATTATTAGTGCCCATCATGTCATTTTAGAATAATGGCTCGTTCAGTCTCTGGCATTTGTGTTTGATTTCACAGGTCCTAGTGTTCTACCACCATCCATCTGCTGAGAGCTGTCCTGTGATGTGGCCTGGTAGTAAAATTCCCGCCCCCTGGGCCAATACCACAGACGCCACCAAGCTCATCCAGTTCCTGGAGACGACTCTGGGTGAACGAGCCAAATACGGCAGCTTTCATGTGTCTCAAGCCATTTTAACCCCACATGTCAAGACCATTGCCAGAGGCCTGGTACGGGGGCTAAGAAACTACCTGGTGGAGAAGTGAGTATTTAAGTGGAGGAACTGTTTTTTTTGTTGTTGTTTTGGTTTTCGTTTTATAGCTGCTGTCCTCAATATCTCTCTCTCTCTCTCTCTCTCTCTCTCTCTCTCTCTCTCTCAGATCCATCTTCGAAATACAATCGAAGAATTGGCACAGCAGCATTCAGGCGGCAGTAGGTTGTAGGGCTCACAGTCTGTAAATGTGTGTATATATTTTTTTTAGAATATGTATATTTATTTATTATGTTTATATTATTTATGTATATATTGTATCTATCTATAATATTTATTTAGGCTATGTATATATTGTATGTATTCATTCTCTCCCTCTCTCTCTCTCTATTTATCCAATTGTGTATTATGTATTCATTCAAGTTTATTCATTGATTCATGTCTTTTGTTTGTCCTGTGTATTTTTATGCATTTATTTATAACAATAAATTACTTTATTTCGTTGCTCCAAATGAGCTTATGAACTTATGCTGTCTGAATTAATAGGACAGAGTAGCACATATACTGACCGACACAGAAGTATGGAGCCTTGTGCTGGTCTTAGCAGACATCCTAGTGAGACAACTGTCTCGGAGGAAGCTGTATAATTCTGCCTGAGTGTGGAAGTTGGATTGTTTATTATACCAGGATAAACGCAGTCTGAGCTTCCCATTTCCTGGTTTTGTCCGGGCCACTGTTGTAGATGACTGTCGAGCTTGGGAAGTTTATTTCTAGCCAGAGCTGACTCTGCTGACCTGAAATAGAACTAACACAGTAATTGCTAATGTTTTAACTGTTCCCTGTAGACAAGTGAGGGTTGTTGCATTGATTATTCAAGCGTTTATGCAAATTTTATACACTACCATTCGAAAGGGGTTGGTATCTCTTATGCTCATCAAGGCTGCATTTATTTGATCAAAAATACAGTGAAATCAGTAATATTATTAAAATTTAAAAGAACTGTTTTCTATTTTAATATAGTTTAAAATGTAAGCTGAATTTCCAGCAGCCATTACTCCAATTTTCAATGACATGATCCTTCAGAAATGAGTGTAATATGCAGATTTGCTGCTCAAAAAACAATATTCTTATTAATATTGATATAGAGAACAGTTGTGCTGCTTTAATATTTTTCTGGAAACCATTATATTTTGATGAATAGAAAGTTCAAAAGAACAGCAGTTATTTGAATTATGCATCCTACATGTCTATTACATGTGCTTCTGTTGTTTCTCTCACAGGAACCTTCCAACTATAATGATGTGGGTGGAGGCACAAAAGCCAGGCGTAGATGGGGTCAATATCATCACTTCCGACTTCGTAGAACTTGTGGATTTCGCAAACACTGTCATTAAATTAAATAACTTCCTCATTCAAGATCGGCCAGGCACATGACCTTTTCAGTGACCGCCACAAAGACTGAAGGTGTGCTGACCACAAAGACCTGGAATGACATGGGGGTCACAACGTGATTATCAAGAAGTGATTGATACCTATGGCCATATGAGCTCTAAATTGGCCATTTTTTATATTTAATTCAACAAAGCTTTGAGTGCCATCAATCTGATACCCATGTTTTGCTAACTTCACTGAAACTCAAGTAACCTTTTCAACAGCTGTTGCTCACCTACACTTCATGTACTGAAAAGAAACTAATGTCATTATTTATGATTAATTATAATATTTTTAACATTTAAATTTTTTTTAAATGTTTATTCTATATCACAATATCAGAGCAAGAACAAACGGTGTCATTGAGTTTTTTGTTGCATCATGAAAATTCCCCATATTTTACCTCAGCACTTTAAAGTGGTTTAGCAATGGCTCATTTGTATACCTGATGTGATCAGCAGTTTCTGGTCTTTATTTGTGTTTGGAAGATGTGGGCCACGGTCACGGCAGGAACCTTATTTTGACAGCCGGTCCAATACAACAATAAACAGATTTTCCATTGCCTCGATTTTCTCAGAATTTTGCCAGTATAATAAATACTATGGTGGATAATTTTTTATTTAATTAATGTATCATCATTTTTTATCATTAAAGTAATAAGAATGAGTTGGTTTTTTTTGACTAATAAATACATTCTATAAATTTTTATTGATACAAAAAATCAAATACAAAAAAGTACTATTTATATATTATTATAGTATTTAGTTTTTTTTATTTATAACTATATTTTTATGTCATTTTTAGTTTTAATAACATTTCAGTTTTTCAGTTCAATTTCTAATTTTGACCGGTTTTTTTTTGTTTTTCATCTAATATTTAGATTTTATTTTATTTCAGTTTTATTTAAATTACCAAAAACAATTTTTAATAGTTTTAGGTAACAACACGGTACAAACAGTAACAACATAACAAACATGAAAGGCTTTGAGAGATTTACCCAATCCCTTTAAATGAAATGCTGAAATTTCTTTAAAAAAAATTAAATCACGTGTAATCATCTTCTGTATTTTATTCCTAAATCTCAGCTTGTTTTATTGCTCTTCAGTATTTAAAAAATGTTCTTACCAGTATTCACAGAAACAATGTGAGCGTCTGCACATCAAGGGCCCTTCAGAGCGCAAGATCTTCCCCACCTGCAGTTCCCTGCGACCATGTCCACATTCCAGTGAATGTTTTCTGGGGTCTCTGGGATGGGAAAGCCATCAGATAATGATCAGGAGCATGTGAACGAGTCCACACAGAGCATTTGAATCCAATGAAGAAATAATTATGTGCTCAAAGCATGAAGGTATTTAGGAAGAGAGAAAGAAAATAGAGACAGATCTAATCAGCACAGCTACTTTCTTTCTCTTTGGCTTTAAAATCAGTTTTTGTTCACTGATATCGCAAAGGGAATGTTTCCCCTTCAGTTTGAATATTGATAGTGAACTTCAAATGAGAAATGCAGCCAAATTTTGAACCAGAAGACATACCGTAGGGTCCAAAAAATGCTTCATTTTGCATTGAAAGTCTCTGAAACCTATAAGCCTGTGTAAAATCTGATGATCATGTTCTCCAGCATGATTTGAGATGATCTAACGAGCTTCAATGGAAGCAAGAACATCTGTCTGTACAAAGGATTCACATGGTGTCATAAATTTGCGGATTTGATTAGTGACCAAGAAATAATGCAAAATGTTCTTTCGATTAGCACAGGTTTTGTATTTCTTTTTGGAACTGGTTGATCATTAGCTTATGCACCTCAGCTTCAGAGTGGTAAAAGCATTATTTGTGGATAATTTAGGCAATTTTCACTCAAAAACTGAAATACATCACCTCAGATCAATGAGGCCTATACGATCAATCAGTTCCAAAAAGAAATACAAAGCCTGCGCTTTAAATACCTGAATTTTAGGGGTCAGACTTCTGGATCCATCTATATCAGTGATATGTAATTCCAAGCCTTTAAAAAAAAAACATCTTGTCAAAATTTTGAGAAGCTCAAGGCATAGCGACATGACCAGCTGCATTTTGAAACTATGACATTCTTTGTTCTTTCCATGAAAGTGTAGACCAGTGGTCTTGACCTTAACAAACAATATTCCTTCTCTCCATCCTCTCTTTCACACTCTTGCCTCTCCTTTTGTTCACTCCCGCTCTTTATTTCATTCTAGATCCTGAAAGAATGTCAGGGGTTGTTGTTGTTGTTTTTTTCATGTCGGCACCAGTGCAGTAACTTATATAAAAGGACACTAACTACAGTGTAATTATACGCCGCTGTTTCGGAGCTAAAGAAAACTCTATGAGCGTGCACTGGAGCATCCTGTTTACCAAAAGATTTCAGCCACACGTGACCTCTAATCACAAACTGGATGTTGGGTGTGAATTTATGACACACGTTGTACATTGTGTGTTAATTAAACAAATAGTCTTACTGTGGATATTTTTATTTGGCAGCTTAATTTTTGAAAAATTTGTGAGAGGAAAAAACTGGTTGATTTTTTATCATTGTTTGTATCTTTTTGGTAGGCTATTTGATATATTCGAATCAGAATTCAAGAACTGGCCAAGAAAAGTAAACTTTTGCACAACTTTGACACCTGAATAACACATGCCAATGTCAGGCGGGTAAGTATTATAATTAGACCACTCTGTGGTCTAATTTTAACGGCTTGGCTATAGCCCTATACCAGTAACCTTTGTATTTTTATCATTTTGTATTGTCTTAAGTTGTCAAAAATTAAATATTTCTTAATAGAAGCTGTATGTATGGATTGCCATTTTGTTGTCTATTAGACGTATATATGTAGTCGTTTAATAGCCGTCTAATTGATGACTAGTCTATAAATGGGCTATGATTAGACGTCTATTAGATTTTCACTGACAGCCCAAATTTACACTCGTTTTAGCCTAGACGTCTAGGCTATATTTAGACGTCTAATAGACGTCTTTTAAACGCAAAATTGCTTGCTGGGAGGCTATGTTAATATAAATGTTAACATTTTGATCAAATAAATAGTGAAGATGAAAACGTAGCCTATATCTGTGTTAAGAATATCAATACTCTCTGGTTAATTTCGAACTGTTGCTTTTAAAAATTAAAGGCAGGTGAATGTTTTGTTCCATGTCTCAAGAACCAGTGAAGTCAGTGCTGGCTGAACTGCACGCGCCGCCGTCTCCAGTGCGCATGCGCTCATCAGCGCACGGTCTAGTTCCAGCTGTTGTGCATTCCATAGCACAGCGGAGTCGCCGCTGGCCAAGAGCGCCAGGACAGCGCCTTTAAGTCACCAAAGAGCCACAGGACTTGCTTAATTTCTTTGGAAATAATTATTTGTAACACAGTGCTTGTTTTCAGCTTTATCAATAACGCTCGGCGGCGAGGTGGAGTTTACAAAGAAAGAGAAATATTGAATTGGCTTGATCTTTTTCTTTCTGTCATTTGGAACCGCAAAGGATATTTGGGGAAGAGCGCTGTGCCTTTGGAGCTGCCATTCAAAATGACAGACGTCGTTTCGGCAATGGTGAGACTTGTGTTTTGCACAAATAATCCTTAAAGTAAAACTTTATTTAATAGAAAGCTGTTCTTTTAATTATTCGAAAGAAGCGCAGTGTCTGTCTATATGTAACTGAGATTTTTAATTAGGGATATTAATTTGAAATATTGGAAAATCTATCTTTTTCAGTCTATGATTCATCTATGTTAATATATTTGAACACATATTGGATGGTGTGGGTTTTTAATATTCCTTTGATGATAGTGACGTGTGATGGTAATGACATTTTCATCAAGCTGGACTCATTAACACAACACAAATAATTTCTCAATTAAAAATCACAAATAGATACTGATTAGTTTGGTTATGACACCTACAATTCCTCTTCTTCTACCATAATGTAAAAGCTTTCAGCCAGTCTTCTCTAAAAGAAAAACTAAACAAATGATTCATGTAAATTCCAAATGAACTGAAAATGAACTTTTTAAAAGTGTCCCTAATTGTTGAATCACTCCTTTTTGCTTATGTCTAATGTTTTGTAAGTTAAATACTGATAAATATGATTGATAATGTTTTTTTGGCCACAGTATTTATTTAACTTAATCTATGATCAGCTCTTGGCACAAGTCATGGCATGGGTTTAGATGTGTTTTGTATGTTGAATTCGTCATGGACACTGAATCATTACCCTGAACTGAGAGATAGGCATCATAGAGTAAACATCAAATACCAGAGACACTTTTAAGACAAACTGAAAGCAAACGGGGCCGTGAGGTGCGATTTCACTAAACAGTGCTGCCTGATTGAACAAGGAATGATCAAACTGAACCAAACAAACAATTTGAGGTTTATAGTTGTTTTTTATTCATTGTTTTTGTTTTATTTGACTTAAATGACCCATCTGTGCAGTGTGCACAAACAACAGCATAAACCCTCAAACCAGATGTTATGGTTGTAAAAACAGTCTATGACACTCAGAGCACAATTGCTATAGTTACATGCATAAGAGCAGCAATTATTTCATGAGTCAGTGTGAGGGGATGAAAAGAAATAAACATGCGGACAGACTCAAGAGAGCGATGCTAGATGCTGTAAGTGAAGCAGATGCTATGGTTGTGAAAACATTGGACCTGCCACTCAACACACAATTGGGTTCAGGTGTGTTAACCTGTGATCCAGCTGACTCACACAGTTCTCATTGGCAGACAGGTTGTTGATGGTGCAGATGTTACAAAGATAGTAATCACTTGTGCTGATGATTCTGGCAATCAGTATAACCCCTGCAGTGAGAAAATCTGCATGAGGTCTGTTAGCATCCAAAAACACCTCAGAGTCAGGTGATTTACTATGGACCAAACATACACTCTTGGTTTCAAAAGGGGGTTTTCACAGTGATGCCATAGAACAGTCTCCAAACTTGGTCCTGGAGGAAACTCTGTAGGGACTGAGTTTGGAGACCCCTGCCATAGAAGAACCATTTTGAGTTCCCCATTGAACCTTCTGTGGAATTAAATAGTTTCAATGAACAGGGCCGTTCTTATAGGGGGGTGCAACTGGTGCAGTCGCACCGGGCCCCTTGCTTGAGGGGGCCCCGCGGCGAACGGACCGAGGGGAACCCCCGCCCCCCCTCCCGGAACACGATCGGCTAAGGATGCTAAGGACGGTAACGGCCCTGTCCATGAATGTTAGAGGTTCTTCATGGAACCATAGATGCCAATAATTAACCTTTATTTGGTGAACCCTCTGGTGACATTCAATCATTTTAGATTGAAAAATGTTATGTTCCGAATTTTTTATTTTTTACTTCATCTGAATGGTATGAAACTTAGTGACTTTTGTTGCACTTGCTGACCTTATATTTCAACGCGGAAGTAAGCCGTTTTCTGTGAATGTGCGAGACTTCTTGTTCATTAGCCACTGTAGGGAAATAACGAGAAGAATAACAATGTGCAGTAAACGGCAAAACTGTTTGCACTAAGCCAGTGTGTTCATAATGAAGATGACACATTAAAATAATATGGTAAGACACACCAATTTGTAATATCCAGCAGCAAAACGAGCTATTTTGTACAGCTAAAAATAGCTGGAAGCGGATAATACTGGAAGCCAACCCTATACGTTTTACAAATTGCCGCACCCTCTCTTATGGGAAAAATAAGGTGGATATGAACAAAAATTGGATGATTAGAAAAGGCTAAATTGTCTGACAGTGGAGCAGTCTTTGATAATGTCTAAATATATATCCAAATGCAAAACCTAATAAAAGTAATTATGTCTGTAAAATGTCAAATAATTTTTTCTTAACATTTGTAGTATTTTATATATAGAATTAAATAAATGCTGCATAGTTAAAATACAAAATATATAAAATTAAATATTATTGAAACAAAATATAGTACATTACTTTAATCTCTGAACACAAATTACATATATTATACATATATAAAATTATACACCATTAATAATAAACAAGTGGTTTTGGTTAATGTAATGTCAACTTTTTGTTAAAATAAGCTGCATAAACTTGTACAGTATAGAAAGTTCGACCTTTTAAATTGGCTTTATGTGTAAAAAGCTCTACATAATAAGGTAAAAGAAATCTGTGCTTTAAAGGAAAACTGTAAGAATAATATTACGTAAGGTTTTGCAGCCTAATGTGGATTTCCTTTCGGTTCTTATTCCTGGAGCCAGATACAGCTGTAACAACATTCCACACTTTTTCATTTGTTAACTTTGGAATTTGGGGTTAATGATGTGAAAGGTCTTAATGTGTTTTTTCAGACAATTTTCTGAATCTTGCATTATCATGGTGCAAGTCAATTATTTATTCAGTTCCTCACACCTTTAATTGAAAAACAAAATATCTATACCGCTGCAAACTGTTCCAAATTGCTGTCGCAATTATGGTATTTATAGTTAACTATTGTTATTTTTAAACATTGCTGCTTCACCACCTTTAAGAGATCAGATGGGTTTTCTATGCTGATATTGTTAAAGAGGCGAGTGTGTGACCTTTAATCAAAAGATGATGACCCCTAATAAAAGGCAAACATGTCAAAGTATCTCTTTAACATGGCACTATAATTTCAGAGCCAACACAAAGCCTGCATTCATGACATTTCTTGTATCTAAGGCTATGTTCAGAATGTGTATATATATATATATATATATATATATATATATTTCCCTTATATATAATCTCTTTATTTATTCTATGTTAGAGTTTGTTGCAAATCTGTTTCATAGGGAGAAGAACAATTTAATAATCTAAAGAAACTTTTTCCACTACAAAGAACCTTTGGTGCAATGGAAAGGTTCCATGGATTTTGAAGGTTCTTCATGAAACCATACAGTAGATGCCAATATAGAACTTTTATTTTTAAGAGTGGCAGTATACTGTAAATAGTAAGCTAGTATTCCATTCCGAACACAGCCCATACGTAGGGCAGAAAGATGAACACGCAACCATCACAGCCTACGCCAAACGCATTTGGAAATGACCTGGAAAGCGACGGTGTTTCTGCCCGTGTTCTTGTTAGATCTGATGAGGGACAGGAATGAAAACAGGGGGAGGTTGACAGACCGTTTCCCTTTTTAAATCTCCCACCTGTCCGCCGAAACGCTAACCTTGTGTGTGGTTGTCACCACCCGTCCTGCAACTCTGGGTGAGATTTGAATGTGTGGTCCTTCTTTGATCATCCCATGTGTGTTACAGCTGAGTCGATGGAGTCGTCAGGAATGTCCTCCCACATCATGTCTTGTGTAAAGCACAAAGACTCAAAAAGCCCTTTGTGTCAAATTCTGGCCTTCCTGCTTCTTCTGTTTCTTCATCATAGATCTAATGTCTCTATGTTTTTGTAACACTTCTGTCTTTCTCTCGGAGTCTGTCTCCACAGTCTTATATTTAATCCGGTCTCAGTGGCTCATAAAATAAATGTTGTTTTCAAATGAACACTCTCCCCCTCTTCCTTCCCCCATTTGATTTCTTTCCTGCATGTACTGTAAATAACCTTCCACAGTCTTTATGAAAAGTCTGTCTTCTTTGTTTGTTGTAGATTTCTGAACATGCCTGAACATTGCAGCTGCCAGCTTCTACCTGAATCAAGAGGTCTTGATGAATAAAGCCATAGTCAGGGTCATCTAACAAAGATCAGCCAGTGTGTAAACAGCAAACCTGCCCTTATTGCCCCACAGTTGCCTACATCTATAATCCCAAGAGCTGATTGGACGGAGAGGTGCTAGAGAGGAATGTAGCTGGTATTTTCATCCTGGGGTGATACCCAAGTAGTTCTCAAAAGCAAACCACTGGGACATTCCTGCAGGAACACGCCTGTCTACCTGTCAGGAAAGAGGGCAAAGAAAGTTGAGGAAGGGGTTTATGGTTCATGTGCAGTTGTTGTTTAGCTGTAAAGTAGGTTGTGTTATTGTCAAATGCCCTCTTGGGATGTGGCCAGACATGGGTCTTAAATATCTTAAAAGGACTTAAAAAAATAAATAAAGTTGACCCTTTTTTAAAAAATAGTAAATTAACCTCAGTTTCAATTAGTGAATGCAGTACTGTTTAATTTCTGTTCACTTTAAATCAAGAGAGTTTATAGTGTTATTTATATAAATAACCTTGTCTATATACACTACCATTCAAAAGTTTGGGGTCAGTAAGAATTTTTATTTAATTTAATTAATTAATTAATTTTTTAAAGAAATTATTACTTTTATTCAGCAAGGTTGCATTAAATTGACAAAAAATGACAAACATATATATATATATATATATATATATATGTTTGTCATTTTTTGTCAATTTAATGCAACCTTGCTGAATAAAAACTTAAGCACACAGCATTGATAATAATAATAAATGTTTCTTGATATCATGTGACACTGAAGACTGGAGTAATTGTACTGAAAATTCAGTTTTGTTATCACAGGAATAAATTACATTTTAAAATATATTAAAATTTTGGAGCCAGTTCTGCAGTCCAGCAGCATTTTGCATTTGCAACCACTTGGTTTGATATTTTGTTTCTAATGCAGTGAAAATATTACAGTTTAACTGTGTCTTAAGTGTCCAAATAATTTTTGCAGCATCTCTCTCTCTCTCTCTCTCTCTATATATATATATACAGTATATAATGTATGTATCTGTGTGGGTGAGCAGGGTTAGCAAAAATGCACATGGGCCCCTCTCTATGGTAACTGCAACTCTGGGATGGCAGGACCAAAGCAAGGGCCATTTCTCACTACATCTCCACTGGCATGGCATGCCAAACACTCCCAGTGACTCGTGGGAAATAATAGGCATGGAACATTCCTGCCTTTTCCTCCCACTCTGTTTTTTGCTCTTTTGGGATCGTTTTCACACACATTCCAACCTACAGTATGTTACGTGTGGCAGCTGGATTAGAGAGTGTGAGTATGTTCGCTCTGATGTTTATGGCCCTCAGGGGCTGTTTGTGAGTGTCTTTGCAGTGCCCATCTTGTGGTTAAATTATTAAACTATTTTAAATTATATTTTATTAAATGGTTTTTAATTATTTTAAATTGTATTATTATTATTATATACCTATTTTTGAATAAACAATTGCAGCCTTGGTGAGCATAAGAGGTTTCTTTCAAAAGCATAAAAAAAAAAACTTACCTACCTCAAACTTTTCAATAGTATTGTACCTAAGCAGGCCTAAAAAGTTGTACATGTTTCCTATTACCTGTGTGTTTGTTTATTAAATGTTTTATCACATAGTTATATTAGGTGGTTGTTTATTATTTTAAATTGTATTATTATTATTATTATATACCTATTTTTGAATAAATAATTGCAGCCTTGGTGAGCATAAGAGGTTTCTTTCAAAAGCATTAAAAAAAAAACTTACCTACCTCAAACTTTTCAATAGTATTGTACCTAAGCAGGCCTAAAAAGTTGTACATGTTTCCTATTACCTGTGTGTTTGTTTATTAAATGTTTTATCACATAGTTATATTAGGGCAGTGCTAAATAAAATGCCATTTTTATGATCACTTTTAAATATCATATATCTTACAGATTCTGCAAGGAGTGTGTAAACTTACAAGCATAACTGCTAACATGTTACTAACATGATAAACAGTATTATAGAAGCATGGTTGTAGGTGCACTCTGACTGGACCTTGGCGAGTGATATTGGAAATGAGGGTGTTTGAACAGCAATGACCTCATTCGGGAAGTCAGTTTTGTATCAGAGGAAATAGGAACAGCGTGAGGCGGTATATGGTCAGATGTTCCTCTCAGGCTTTCAGGTCTGGAGAACCCAAAAATTTATGTGGACACTTGAGAAACACTTAAAATGCATGACTGTCATTACAAGATATAACAAAATATCATTTTTATTTTAAAGAAAGATAGCACAAGAACACTTCTGAAGCAAAATCTTTTACAAAAAACAAGGGGATTAAATTATGAAAATTGAGTCAAACTGACCTCCCTAAAAATATTTTTGGAGCCAGTTCTGCAGTCCAGCAGCATTTTGCATTTGCAACCACTTGGTTTGATATTTTGTTTCTAATGCAGTGAAAATATTACAGTTTAACTGTGTCTTAAGTGTCCAAATAATTTTTGCAGCATCTCTCTCTCTCTCTCTCTCTCTATATATATATATACAGTATATAATGTATGTATCTGTGTGGGTGAGCAGGGTTAGCAGAAATATGATGTTTATGGCCCTCAGGGGCTGTTTGTGAGTGTCTTTGCAGTGCCCATCTTGTTACTGGAGTGCCATTAAACATAATAGCTTTTTTTCTTATCTGGATTCACTCAGTGGTGTTCAAACTAGAACTGACAGATAACCAGCTGTTGGCATTTAGCGAGCACAGATGGGGGGCATCAGGTGAGCAAGCTAGTGAAACGTTGCAGGCGCAAAAGAGAAGGTCTGCACACATCCAAAAACGTATTTTAAATGCAAAATTGATTTCCGTGCGCTCGAAATACTTTTTTCTTTGCGAAACGAAAATTTTCTCCACAAACTCAGATCGCGCGTGTGCAAAATGCACTATTGTGCGCTCAAAATATGATCTTTCGCGCGCAGAATTGTGGCAGAAATGTAAGCCCATATCTCAAAAACTCCCATTAAAATCACTGAAGCAGTTTACACTGTGAAATGAATATCTTACTTGATTTCGTACGCACATCTGCTCTTTGTTGTTTCTGATGAGAGAATTCACCAGATAATTCAGTCAGCGAGCAAGTAAACAAAACACGGCGTTTCAGAGATGACTCATCTGCACGTCTCTGATTGGCCATTGCATTCATAAGCTCAACAGAATCGTGTGTGATTGGTTATAATGCAGCGCTGTACAAACGCGTCTGTCTCTGGTTCAGCGCCAGCCAAAGCACGAACGCAGATTTGAATTTAGCAGCTGATGCTGTGCCGCACTGAACGATCTAATCACACCGGTGTGATTGTATCAAATATAAAAAAATATTATTCGGCTATTATTCGGCACGTGCCCCCTCACTTTGAATGGGCATATGACGCCTCTGATTATGGAACACAAAAGAAGGAATTCTATGTTCATGCTGCTCTTCTCCAAATAAAAGCTAAAGGTTGCCAGACACTGCCAGAATTGTATCAATATTATAAAAGTACTCATGCATTATATTGCAGGTGTTGTGAATCCACAAATCTAAATTTGTCATTATTCACAGAAAAATCTTTCCATCCATTCGAGCAGTAAAATCATATTCACATTTACTGCATTGGTTATCACATGGAATGTAGAAGGATTTTTTGGGGGTCAGTATGGTTTTTTTTTTTATTTTACACATTAAATTGATCAAAAGTGGCAACAACAAAAAAATCTACTTCAAAAATTTTTTTTTATTCTTTCTGTTCATTAAAGAATCCTGAAAAAAAAAATGTAGCACAGTTTTCACTGTTCAACGCTGTTCAATAATATGAAATGTTTGAGTGCCAAATCAGTACATTAGAATGATTTCTGAAGGATCATGTGACACTGAATACTGGAGTAATGACTGCAGACAATTCATATTTGCCAGACTTAAAATATATTGAAATAGAAACAAGTTATTTAAATGGTAATAATATTTCACAGCTTTTTACTGTATTTTTGATCAAATAAAAGCAGCCTTGGTGAGCAGAAGAGACTTCTTTCAAAAAATATTATAAAATCTTACGAGCTAAATTTGTATTTGTGCTCTACTTAAGAAACTGCTAAAGTCATATGAGTGAAAATGTTAGAATAATTTTCATTTTTAGGTTAACTATTTCGGTTAAAGTACACGTCATATTTCCTGAGGAGTTAAGTCTGTAAAGCCCTTTCACGATTATACAACAAGTATGTATATGTTTAAGCATATCAGCTCTTTGTTCTTGTGTGGTACAGGATACAGAGCCAAACAACCCGGCGAGTGTCCTCGAACTGGAGTCAGATCACAGCCGTGGTTCTCCTAAGGTTAGTGGATCATTTGTTCTTTTCTTCTTAGAGGTAGGAACTGTTAATGAGCTGTAATGCTCTGTTTTAGAGTCCACCATTGGACCTGACTGACACAGGAAAAGGACTGAAAGTACAAACCACGACCCCTCACCTAGTCAGCCTGGGCAGCGGAAGGCTCAGTGTAGCCATTACTTTACTACCTCTAAAGGAGGGTATGTGATTTTTTTTTTTCTCTCTGTTTGTTTCTGCCTATCTCTTGATCTCCCTCCCTCACACAATACCCAAATAACCATGAACAATAGCCTGTAAAGAATAGATCTGTAAATAAGACCCTCTATCTGTTTGTGCCTTCATGAAACACTGGATGCATGTGGCTTTTATTGTTAGTGCACTTAGGTTATCATAGAGGAAGAAGGTGGATGAATGGGGATTTTCTGTTGTAAAGCCAGAACCCGGAGCATCTTATTTAATCTTTACCTTATAGAAATGGCAAGAAGGGTCCACCTGTTTCTGATTACACACAGGTGTCAGGCTTGTCCTAATGACATTTACTGCATTGGTTATGTCTGCGCACACGGCTCCCACTCATTCCTCGCCCCTCTTATCACGGTCACCATGGTAAACGCTGGAATGCAATCTGAGAATGGTGCAGGAAATGAAGTGTGCAACCTATCAGAATAGAGACAGGACAAGGAGTCAAGCTGACTTCCTCCCAGTGGGATGGAGTAATAAAGTCACAAGTATTACAGTACCGCCATAGTGCTGAATACACACAAAGACTGATTTAAACGTGCTATTTCAAGGCAGTCTAATTATGTTTTGATATAAAAAGAGCAAATATTTGACCATATCCGTTAGTAGACTGTGAGGTGTTTAAGTAAAGCTGTAAGGGGGTGATTTGCGTCACTGGTCGAGTGTGTGAGCCAGCAGAGGTCAGAGAAGAGTGGAAATGTAAAACAGAAACACACACCATTCCTTGGAACAGTGTGTCATCATGCCAGCAACAAATCTCCAGACTGTGACTAAAAAAAAAAAAAATAAATTATGATCATTTTAAATCCAGTAGCCATTGGCGACAATGCAGATGACTTTGTGTGAAATTTAGTCAAATATCAAGAGCGCAAACAAGGGTTTCTCGCATTCAACAAACACACAAGCATGAGCCGTAGAGTTCAATTCACGAACAAATAATCAATCATAAAAAAACTAAAACAAAATGGTTTCAAACTCATAGGTTAAAATCATTCAGAACCATTACTTCACAATAACAAATAGTTCACAAATGACTCCCTAACTGAGTCCAATTCGAAATTAAAGGCAGGGTATGTGATTTTTCAAAAACACTTTAGAAAACTGATTCGGGCCGAATAGCAAAACAAACTTGTAGCCAATCAGCAATAAGGGGCGTGTCTACTCGTGATGTGGAGGAGAGAGCTTTCAGTGCATGGGACGGACATTAGCCGAGCCGAGCGACAGAAAGATAGAGATGGCGGATAAAAAACAAAAGAGGAAAACGTCTGCGGAAAGATAAGGCAAGAAGTAGGACCCGTGTAAAATATTGGATCAGCTTTCCAGTGCTGGAGAGAACTCAAGGAGCGGAGGCCTGCGATCGGACGCCGCTCAGGACATCACTATTGAGGGTCCCGGCATTGAAGCCAAACACTGCAGGATTGAGAACAGAGGAGGGGTCGTCACTCTTGACCCATGCAGACACCTGTGTTCACTCGATGGAGTTCCTGTTACCAGACCCACACAACTTATGCAAGGTAACCACAAAAGGAATGATAGCGCTTCACTGAAAATGCATTTACTGCATGCATATTTTTGTTTGTTTACTTTGGAAAACATAGTGTCTGAGTAAATGAAAAGGGAAAGAGGTTTATGACCTGGGAATGAAGTGCATTATGTATTGGAAATGCATAATGTGTCTTTCCAGCAGGGTCTTGGTTTTGGACGTCACACTGAGTTTAATTAGAGTGGTTTTGGATCTTTTCTTAATGCGACGCTGTGACTCAGAGCTTCCAGAAGTGTTAGAGTGAGCTACCGAGCTCAGCTTTTCTTCCCCAAGGATGTATTTTCCCATAATTCCTGCATTCTTTAGCCTCACTGAGTTCCTCAACGAACGATCCATCATTCTCTATGCTTATTTTCTTTCACATCTCAGTGAGAGCGAGTCAGATAAACATTTACCAAACTTATTCTGACACTTTTCAGTCATAAAGCGCAAATATTGGCGGGATTGAGAAATGTGTCCTCCGCTTCTGTCTTTGTTTCTGTGGGAGGAACTGCCAATAGGCACGACTGTGATGCAAATGAAAACTAATTTCTTTTTGAATGCTTTTAGAAAACTACAGAGAGACCATGCCGTTTTGAAGGAACTCATTTTATACATCTGTATTGCAAAAAGAAGCCACATGCTAGTTATAAAAGGATGTTCTTTCAATAAGAAATAAAGGCATATTTGAGGCTAACCTCCCCTAACTCTAAATGCTTTGAGTCAATTAGATTAAAACTGAGAGCACGTGAGCTACAGCGCTGGTAATAATCAGCAGAGCTCAGTTAGAGGTCTGTTCCACCTCCTCCACTCATTGTGACGCAACAAGTGCCGTCACTTCGACCCAGGCAATTGCAAAACTTCATTTGATTGGCAAATTCTTTGATTGGTGTCAGACTAATCTACTATTATACTGTTCCAGACTATGTGAGTCTGTCCTGTAGTTATCTAATCCTGACTAAGGTGTCTGGTATGTAAACAGCAGAAATTCTACTCTGGCTCCGAGAGAATATTTAAAATAATTAATTAATAATATATATATAAAATATTGCACTTTCTAAGAACAATATTTACTATGAAAAAAGTGATATACAATTTTTTATTTTTTTTATATTTCTCTTGTAGTCTAATAATATATTTTTATTAATAATTCGAACAAATTAATATCAGAAACTATATATTATCTTACACTTTTTTCAAAGTATAAATGGGTCTATATACAGATGACAGATACAACATAAATAGATGCCTTAATATTTTAGAAAGGGGGTCCGTTTTATCATATTTTGGTGGTCTTTGTCATTAAAAAAAAATTAAAAACACGTCCAATTTTATACATCTTTTTTATACTATTGACTTTAGAGCCAGACTGAAATCAGATTTCTCATTGTCTACAGCATCATGATTGATGAACGCTGGCAGTTTTGTGCAGACATCCACAATGTGATGTGGAGAGGTCAGAAAACTGAACAAGATTATGCTCAGTCTTGTGCAAGAGGAAAAATTGATGGTTTCAGTCAGAGTTGCACAAATTATTCCTCAATAGGCAAATCCTGTAGAGGGCTGTACAAATATCTTGGGGAAAGTGCATATAAACTTGATTTGATTCTAGAATCTGCATGTTATAGGTTGTTTCTTCTCCTCAGATTATTCTGTGGGGTTTCTCTCAGGTAACTACTTTATCTATCTCTGAGTAGGTAGACAAAGAAAATGGAGGAGGTGGGGTTAAATCGCCCCTTTCACTTACTTTTCAAGTGTTTGCTTTAACATACCGGGTAAGGTTCGAGATTACCAGTGTTCATAGTAACGCATCATTGAAACTGTTCATTAAAAACTTTGACTTGCTTTCAAATGCGAGTTACAATTTAAGTGAAACAGCCAGACTTCCCTCCCATGTTGTCCTTGAGTATGTAAAGAGCACCACCCCTTTAGGTTGGGTTTGGAGCGTTTGCTTTAGTCTCATTGACCTCAGGAGAGGAGGAAAGTGAAGCGGTCGAGCGTTTATCATACAGTGAAGCGCACGCGGGTCATGGCTTTCTCGTCAAACACTAATTGACAGCAGAACTCCGCTCGCGCTTTGAGGTACTCGCTCAATGGGACTTCTCGAAAGGTTTGTTTTCTTTTCTTTTTTATCGTTTTCTTAAGCAAATTGATTGGATATGTGGTTTAGATTTTTACATTGAATCCACGCTGCAGTTCCGGGACGCGAGTATATATATATTTTTTTATAGTTTCATAATTTTAAAATTAAATGTAAATATTTAACATGTTCATAAATTGACGTGCGTGACGTCATAAAAGGCTATAGAGGAAGACGACTTTTTGCACTGTCTACCTTTTATATAATATTCTCACATTTTCTGTTAAAAAAATAACAACAAGTAGTTTAGAAATCCACAGCTTATCTCTGAATGTAAATGATTGTCAAGTACAAAGACTGCTGTTGCTGCAACTTATTACACTCAGGCAGGGTTGTAACAGTAATCGAAAATATTTTTAAGTGATTTAGATTTGGTAATCAAATTTTAAAGATAGTTAAATATTTTTAAATAATCCTTAAATAATTATGCTACCCCAATTTCATTGTAATTAAAATTATATGCATGTAGGGGGCATTATTTTAAAATAATGAAGTTCAGTGGTTTTGATGCATGCATATTATAACTTAACTTTCCTCTAATTGTTTTAGAGTATCATATAGTTGTTTGTATTATGTGATTGTTTTTTCTTAGTGTTTGCACATGTCAGCACACAAACTGTGACCATCATGTTTTCCTGAGCAAAAGGCCAGATATGATTTTCTTCTTATCTATCAAATAACATTTACCTAATATCCGTGCTATGATCTTAACTATTTCTCCCCTCTAATTTATAGCACTAAACATATATATTACATGTTTTTATTGTACCAGAAGATTGTTTCCTTGTGGTACTGGGTTAATCCAATAATTTGAGCAGGGAACTGTTCATAAAGTAACATGCACATTTGATTATGCGATCAAAGGAATCTTATTTTTAATCCAAGCCTGACTTTAGAAGAGAGAGTTTATAAGATGAAGCAGCTGTGTTTGTGGATTCATTTGTGGGGCAGAAGGGCAGGAAAAGACTTGCAATAAACTACAAGTGTAAACTCTTTTATGAAAGTCTTGGAAACATTTTTATGAACCTACACAAATGTGTTCTGTATTGAAGTACATGAAACAGAATTGCAATACAGTCACCTTGGGTGCCAAGCTTAGATGTGTACATCTTTGTTCTTTTGAAAGTGTATTTATTTAGCCTTAGGAGCACAGCTGTGTAGACTAAACACTTATGAGTGTGTACGCACGCACACGTGTGCCTGTTTATGTTTCTGTTTCACGAGTGTTTCTCTGGACGTGTTATGCCTATGGAAGTGTGTTGACTGACTCAGGGTTTCATTTTCCTGCACATTGTGTCCATGTGTTGTTATGAAATCAGCACATCCCGCAGCTCAAGCTGTATTTGTCTGTTCTGTGATACATTAAAGGGAAGTCCAGAGAAAGCTTTGAAGAAATGTTCTGCCAATGTTTTAAACCCTGGAATGTTTGAGACAGGAGACTGAATGTCAAGGGTTTGGCATGTTAATGACACACGACTGGATGTTTAGAGAATTCATCTTTGTAGCATGTGGTTCCATCACTGAGTAAAAAGTGCTGGACAAACTTATGCACTGTAATAAAATCTATCTAGTTTAACTTAAAAGTTCAGTTAAATTTTACTGGCTGAGTAATTTCAGATCATTTTTTGAGCATGTTTAACTAAAAAAAAAAAATGAAGTTGAAGTTTGTTGAATAATTTAATGAGTTAAAGTAATATATAAATATCATTTTTTTTTTACAGTGTAGAGATTATTTTTGCACAGCTGGGCTGGAAGTTTATTTCATTAGACTTCTGTAAAGCTGCTCATTCATTGAATCCACTGATACATTACAGGCAGTTCCCGTTCAAAATTCTTGTTTTGATGGAATTGTTTTCGCTCACACTAGCTCCTAGATATTCACATCTAGCGAAAAGACCACTGAGGCAAATATTTTGGGGTTTCACTGAGGAGGAAAAAGAGGTCCTGCATATTTTCCATGAGCTGTTATTCAGCTTTCTATGACTTTTTTCCGGGCTTGCATCCATCTGCCGTTCTGTGGTCTCTGATTTCAGATGAGTGGAAAGAGCAGACCCAGACCCTCAGGATGTAGCAGTCTACTAAGAGACAATAAGGAAAAACTGATGTATAAATCAGCTTTTATGGTGAAACAAGCTTTTCTTATTCAGAATTGGCAGCCATGCTGACTGATAACCAGAGTAATTGAATTATGAGGTTGAAAGATTTTTTTAAAGTGAACCATCTAGGGTTCAGTGTTGTTTAGAGGATTTCAGTGTTATTTCATATTTCAGCTTCCCTGGTGTCTACTAGTGCTCTGTGTTTCAGTGGACTATGAACTTGAGTGATATTAACACTAATCTGGTCTTTCTCAGATTGATCCAAATGTGTGTTTATTTTCATCTCTCTGCAGGTTACACACTCTGTTTGGGTAAATCTTATATCTTTCGCTTTAACCATCCTAAGGAGGCCAACCGTATGAAAAGCATGCTGCCTCAGAAGAGCCCCGTCTCTCCGCTGGTGTACAGCACAGGTAACCTTTCTTCCTTCCAAGTCTTTCAAATTATCTTAACATCATCTTCTCTTCATGCTCTTCATCTTTCTTCTTTAACTATCCATCTTATGCACCCAAACCCCCTCAAGAACTGAAACCACTGATCTTTTGTACACACACACGGCCTGTATCCCATATCACAACACGCCAGCTCAACATCTATGGAGGATCTTCTCTGTCTTATGTGTGTGTGTAATACATGGTTTCAGTTATCTGCCACAGCTCTTTTGCAGTCTGAAATAGGATCCTCTAAACCTTTGATGTAGCAGAATTCTTTTAAGAGTGCTAAATGTCTACTTTACAGACAAGGATTCTTTACACAGCCAAGTTAAGTCTGCTCGGAGCAATCTTTGCTACAATTTCTGTATAAAAATGCCACTTGAAAGCCGTTGTAAAATAAGGCAGCTCTGACCCATCTCAGCCCCTAGTATCAGATTTAAAAATATATATTTATTTTTTCCAACAATGTTATGTACATCATTTATTTGGCGCACATACCTTTATGCCTTGTGAGTGTGTTTATATATTTTCCTTTATAATTTCAGATTTTTTTAGTTTCCTTTTTCTATATTCAAAAATTTAATATAGATTTATGCCTCCTCTGTGTGTAAAAGTTTTTTTTTTCCCACATTTTTATGGTATATATGCCGTTTCAGTGCCACAAATAAAGCCTTAATGAATAACTTTCATTATTTTTTTAAATTAGGTTAATTACAATTCGGCACCTTGGAATTTATAAGGTTCTATATAGGTTTATCTGCATTCTGTGCGGTTTTGAGATACTGAGTTTCTCAGCATTCCATATTTGAAAAAATGTACACAACTTTTAAAAAAACATCACAATGTAAATAAGTTGGCACAGATAACAAATATATATGTGAATAAATGAATTTTGACAAAAATGTCAGAAGAACCTTATAATTCTAAGGGGATGAATTGCTGGACTAACTCAAACCCAAACCCTAAAAGAATAATTTAAATGTATATATCTATATGACTTTTACCGTTGAGTACATCCACAAGTGTGTTTTGCCCGATTTAACTTAGAGTAGCCTATATCTAAGTAAACCCACACACACTCAGGGAGCCAGTCTGTCTCGTGGAATGTGTGATCTGTACACAGATGTGGTTTGGATTCTCCCTGTTGATTGATTGAACATTTTGAGTGAGGTGCAGAGAGTGACATAAATCATTGCCACCTCCTCTCAGTCTTTCTCTCACTCACACCGTGTTGCTAGACTCCAGGAATGAATCTTCACATAAACAAATCTGCACCCACTCACTCAAAGTGCATTGTACATAGCAAACCTGGGAAAAACACACACTCTGGGCCTCACTGTGCTCCGTATACTGGTATAAGTTAAACTTTAACCCTTATGTTGTTGTCTAGTTAGTTTATGCGGTGAGGGCCTTACCAGTGTGGTATATACACCAGCATGCATCAGTAGCCATATAAATTGAGGCTTGTCGCTAAATGGTTAGCCAGAAGAACCTCCCCATGTATGGTCAAAGTTTGTGTGATCTCGCATGCCTTTCCTTTAACCCTGTCATCCTTGTGATATATCCTTCAGTTTCTGCTCTCTTTCCTTCGTTACCTTCACGTGAGAGATTCTTTCATGATTTAAGTTCTGCTTCAGCCTAATGTACGCACACATGCACCTTAAAGAGATAAAGGGATTTTTCTTGGCATGTGCAGGTTTATGTGTTTTATGAGCATTCACGTCAGTCATCTGAAGTGGGATTTCTTTGATCTTTGCTGTCTTGGCACGTGGCGGAGTGAAGCTTACCTCTCACCCAGAAAGCAGATGAGAAAATTGTGTCTGTGAAGGAGGGAGATAGTAGAGCAGACATAGAGGCCAAATTAAACATGGATGTCTTTTGTCCACTCTCTTCCCAGCCTGTGCTGAATCATATACAGTTATTTTAAAAGTTAAACAAATAAAAAAAAATTGTCACCTCATTGTGCAATATTTTGTGTAGTGTAGACTTTGACCAGTTTCTGTTTCTTGAACATTCTAGACTTTTAGAAAATGTCTTAACTGACTAGGTGTGTGTTAGTTTAAGCTGTAATATGCCACGTTGAATACTTGGACAGCAAGGTAGACAGGCCATATTTATTGGTTCCTGAGGGAAAACTGATGATCTTTTGGTTCCAGGTCGTTGCAGGTCAAACGAGTCTCAGGTACAGCAGTCCGAGCTCCCCATACTCCTGCAAACAATTAAAGCAATTCCAGGAGTTAACAAGGACCAAGCAGACAGTTATATAACTCCTCGTAACCACTTTCTCATGCTTTTAATAGTCTGACCTTTTCAAAAAAGAAGCTGCTAGTAATAAACCTTCGTTTATTCTTCTGAAGAACCTTTCTTGTGTTTATTTTTAGATTATCTGAAGTTCAGCAGTGACTTCAGTCATTGTCTGGGTGGCTCTGGCTCTAGAGGGATGCGCTCCGTCTCCGAACTGCGGGATTTGATGGACACTTTACAAAAAAAGAAGCAGGCATTGGAGAACAGCTTGCGAGCCAATGGGGATTCAAGCCCCTCCTACTTCAGCATGACACCGTCTCCTCCCACCACACCCAATTTGCTGTCACCCATCATCACTTCCTCCCCAATATCCTATCAAGAACAAACCCGCCGATTGTACAGCTCTGAAAGGCCACCACTTGCGGCCAAAGTGCCAGGACATTCGTCCAGCGGCATGCCTCCATCTCCTCGCCGTTCTGACCCTCGAGAGCGTGACGCATCACTTCCTTATTCTCGACCCATGACCCGGAACCAATCTCAGGATAGCCTGCTCCTCAATACATCAGACAGTCGCCGTGCTGGGACCACAGGCTCAGCTCTCTCGATGTGGAACGGCTCATCCACCGGTGCAACTGATTCCCTCCCTCCAACACCAGTGGGCGGTAGTGGTGCAGCCAGCATGCCATCTAGTCCCCGTCTGTCTCGTAGATTCAACACCCCAGATGCAGGTTGTAATGGAGGACTCGAACCCGCTCCACGGCAACGAAAGTACTCCGCTGGGTCACTTACAGGCATGAGCTCGCACAGTCGCTCCCTACCACGCCTCTATCGACCTGCCGACAGTCAGCTTACCCTCCTGCCAAGTTATCGGTCTCCTGACAGCCAGCTTTCTCATCCAACTGGTGCTAGCCACCAGAATGGTCATTCTGAGGTAGTCTCCATCTCGCTGTCCAACAGACCTGTTACCAAACATACCGTAGCCCCTCCGGATGTCACCATGACATCGGGAGAAGCTACCAGCCCCCGCCAGGCCAAGAAGGTGAGTTTGACATCCATCAGCTGCTACTCAGAACTGGACAGGCAAGCCATGCGTGGTCCCTCGCCAGCTCTGGAGATTGGTCTCGGGGAGAGGAGGCAGTCTTTCGGAAAGGCAGGGCTGGGTCCGCCGAGTGGCTTCAGGGAGAGAAAGGGCAGCATCAGCTCTCTCAGCGGAAAGGAAGAGCTTCAAGACTACCATCAGAGACAGAGGGACGAAAGACTGCGGGAACAGGAAGTGGAGAGACTGGTGAGAGACTTTAATCACTTTATGTTGTTCATGTATTGCTTTAAAGTCAGCATGAAATGAAAATTCCCCCTATTAATTTTTCTAAATGCATGTTATTGATCTTACAGTTAAACAACAAACTTCTTTTGTGACTTATGCAGGACTTTGTTGTCCTCTTAAACCTCGCCCCCTTCTTACGATTGACTGCAAGCTCGCATTCAGATCTGCCTTCATCCAATCAACAACCAAAAGTCTAAACCAAGATCCCACCCTTCATTTTTTTTATAATCCGTTTAACTCAGTTGTACATCACGATATGGAATAAAGTATCTGCCACTACTTTGATTACATCATAACTTTTCACTTTATACTTTTTGTACATGTTCCTGGTATCATGTTCAAATGCAAGAACTTGCTCCGCCTCCAAAATGACTTTCCTTTTCTGCTGATGTCACCTAGGCTAGGTGCATTAAAATAAACCAATAGCCAAATTTGTATTTACTACTATTTGTATGTACTGCAGTCTTTATAAGCTCTTGATGATAGTTAACTGTAACTTACTGGCAATTCGTTTTAGTTGATTTAATTAAGTTGTGACTGCCATACCTTTCATAATCTAATCAGTTCCCAATTACTCAAATCCCACCCTACTTTTTTTCTCATCAAATCTCCTAGTTAGCTCAAAATGTCACATTTCATAAGTAAAATGGGTTTTAAATTCTGTTTCATGTTGACTTTAACACAAAATATACATAACATTATAGAACTCAAACATCTGCATGTCCAGTCATCTGTTTCATTTTTATGTTAATTTTTTTTATAAGCATATAATTTCTTCTTAAGACTCACCCAATATAAAAAAAACGAATGACTTTGATTGATTTCATCTAGAATATTTAAAATTCCTCCTCCATTACCCTGTTTTCTTTTCTCATTTTGAAGGGGGTATCACATTAAAAGCTGGTGATATTTCAACTTTTCTTGCAACATGGGATCTTGTGGGAGCTCAGATATGGGGGACCCCACCTGCAGCTTAATTAATTTTCCTGCCAAACTTGCGCTCTGGCATTTCACTTGGCTATAACAAACAAACTATGTGCAGGAAGGCCCCTCTGGTTCTCTGTAGTGGATGTGGTGGAAGACCCTAGCAGAGGTGTGGCTGCTTAAACCTCCTATTAATAGACAGCTTGACAGCCCAGAACCACATCCACTTTTATTGAACCCAGCCTCTCTCTGGGAGGCCGCCCACAGCTGCAGATGATCCTGGCAAATTGCCCATGCTAACATGCCCCATTCTTGCTTCTCAGCTGCTCTCAATGGGGTTCAAATGAAAGGCAACAGAGTTTTTGTACACTGTGGTTAAGGGAGGCCACCTGTGGCGCCGCCCTGCTGGGCAGAGGCCAAACCATCATCGTAGGCCGCCCACTCATTAGTTAGCACCACAACTACAGGCTGGTGATCTTTACAAGGCCAGCTCTGAGTGAAAACAAGGCCGCTACAGGTGGAGAAATATATCCACACATAGACTTTCACTGGGTTTCTTTAAAAAACATATTATTACAGACTTTAGCCATGGTTGTACATGTCCAGAAAACTCACACTCATTTCATGAAGACACAGTTGCGTAGCATGTGTTGTTTTGTTTTTTCTGTTTCAGAGCCCAATGAGGTCTAAAATTTTGGGAGAAAACTATCCAATAGCATTTCCAAATGGCAGCAGCATTGGAAAAAATCTGTGTGAAAAAGTTAATTTCATACATTTGATATCCATTTATATATTTACTAGTAATTTATATGTCGCTCGCAAAGATATGAATTGCTTTGCCAATTACTTTGAATGGCTGTAAGTGCACATAGATGCTTTTTTTTGCCCGCTTTTTTTCCCATGGAAGATCCTGTTCCAGTTCCTGAATGCCTGATCACAAATGTAGTGCTATTAAATTTGTATTTGCTTGTTCTAGCTAGAAATGTTCATTACCTGTTAGTGCTATGCTAAGCTCTAAATTGTAACTATTAAAAACATTTTTGTTAATTGAAATAAAATTTTAAACTTAAACTAGACCATTTTAAATGTTTACTAAGCAACTAACTGAAATAAGTTTATGTACTAAGAATAAAGAGAAATAAAAATAAATTGAAACTATTTAGTAATAACTCTCAGTATAAATATTTCTAAAATAACGCTGGTTATATAATGTGAAGAACGATTTAAATAGCATCAACATGTTTATATTTTCGAGAATAAATACACCGCAAAGCAATAACTATCATTTGACAGATCAATCCCATCACTGATACAGAGAGTTTTTGTAAATTTATTAGGATTGTAGGAGGGGATCCATTGAAGTTTTCCTCTTCGCTCATGCACTGGGGCTGGTAGTGTGTCATGAATAAAAGCGGAAGGATTGAATCACGCTGCTCCTATTTGTATATCCTTTCCTGTCCAGTGCCAGCAGTGTTTTTATTGGGTCTAGTTTCACTCTCTGCCCAGTTTCTGAGAGCTCCCTCTCTCTCTCTCTCTCTCTCTCTCTCCCATTTGCAATCTCCCTTCCTACCGACTCCTCAGCCTCACATCAGAGGGTTTGTGTTTCTGTCACCAGCTTGGTGTGGCACTGAAGATGTGTTCATGTCTCTCAGTAATTTGTACTTGCTGTGCTAAGAAATGTAACTAAACCTGGCATTTTTTTGATGAGGTCATGATCTCCTCCTGTGAGGTGGAGGTCACCATGTGTCCTCTGACCTCTGGATCCGTTGATATGGTGAGTAGAACTCTCTGAAGAATAGGGCCGTGTGAATGCATAAAAATGCTGGGCTTGTTTTATAGACTAGGTTTCGATTTACAAGGAAATATCTTGATTATAGATTTAATAACTGTTAATATGCCTGTGATGCAGGTCAGGTTGTTCATTCTCAGCTACATGAAACTGTGAGATCATTTTTCTTGGCTTTGGAAATGCTCGCCTGAACTTGCTGTTTGCATTTCCATATCAGTCGATAAATACAGGGTTTTTTTTTCAAGCCAAGTGCACTCCTTCATGAGCCAGGGTTGTTTTTGGATGTATATGTCTGGTAGACTTCATCTGGTCTTTCTCTGATCGCAATTTGGGGCTGTCAAGAGTGCTTTTACACCTTTTTTCATGTAAATGGATGGAATCAAATATGTTTGTATATTGGACCTTCTTGATAATGTTAGAAGAAATAGCAGTAATGTTCTTTAAGTTACCCATGGGCTATTAGTGTGAAATGTCTGCATGAGAGTTTTCTCCAAATAACAAACATGTTCCGAACTGCTGCAGGTAAATCTGTTTGCATTTCAAAGGTGAGAAAGGTTTCCAAATGTATCATTCCCTCCAGCTGTCTGATTGTGAGTTTTGATGCTGCACGTGTCTGAATATGCATTTTTTTTCATACTTTCTCTGTCTGATCCATAGGAACGTCAGCGTCTGGAGACTATCCTTAATCTGTGCTCTGGGCTGGACCGTGCAGAGCAGGACAAAACTGGCTTGGCCGTTGCAGACTTGCAGAAGATCAACAAGGAGCTGGAGAAATTACAGGTGTCAGATGATGAGTCTACGTTCTCAGACTCTGCAAGTCTGTCAGCCAGCATTTCTGCTGAAAATGACTATGGGCTTAAAGCCCGGGAGACCCAGTCCAGCGAGGAGAGACAGGTACGGCAGCGCAAAAACAGTGGACACAGAGAAGTCAGGGCGGAGACAACAGCTGTCTTTGTCTCTGCTCCCACCCCTTCTCCTCGGCTGACACGGATAAACAAGGTAATTAATAAAGCTTCCCTTAAGCCACTTAAGCTACTCTTAGAAGTGTATGAATGAGAGGAACTGACTTCATGCATATACTAAAAATCACCTTGGGACCGTCTGGTTAACAGTCATTGCATTTGCATTGCATCAAAATATTTTAAATGTCCAAATACTTTTTGGGGCCCCTGATTTTATTTAATATACTATAATATAATATATTAAATAAAAATTGCTGAAATGGAAATATACTCTTCTTAAACTATTTGATAAAAAGTGTATATCATATTAATATTATATGATATTATATATTGCAGGAATTTTGTTATAAATGGGTGAAATGGTAATATATTAATATTTTCATTGGTAAAATTCAATAAATTGTTTAAAAAGAGTATATTTCCATTACAGCATTTTTTTGTTATCTTATGTCATGTTATATGTTATGTTATATGTTATATGTTTTATGTTATAACATATAACATATAGCCTAACATATAACATAAAACATAAAAGTTATATGTTTTGTTATGTGTTTTATGTTATGTTTCAGATTTATTCTGACCGATTGCTTTCCACTATGGCTTCATGCATTAAGTCTTTTCTGCATGCAGTGTGTTTTAATCTTGTTAGGTAATTGAATCATTTGTAAAGCTAGTCCTTTTCCACACTGCTAATTCCTGTGACCTTTTGGAGAGGTTATAAGAGTTTACCACCCTTCCTTGGCATGCACACAACCTCACGCACACTTTAATCAAAGAAGGAATGTGCGGGTGTCTTCCCTCCAACTCCTGTATGGACTGATCTAATTAGTCTTTTGCGCAGGAGTAGAAGTCATGCATTGGTTCTGTTATTTATCCATCTACAGATATGCTATAAAACACAAAATAGCCTTGGAAACCATTTTATAGAAACTATAAATTTGTATTGGCACTTTTTCTCCCTTCTGGCCCACACTGAAACAGCTGAAGCAGCTCAGAGATGTGCCCTCTATAGTATAAACTGTGATGAGCAGATATAAACATCACTGTCCAAATATAGCAGGGTCATGCGCATTGTGTTTGGTTGATCTTTGCCTCACACAATGGAAGAATGGCAGACTTCTCATCCATATGTGCTGTCCTAATCATACATGCACGTAGGCCTACATGTGGAATCTTGCAGTTCAAAGGTCAACTTTTTGCTTCTAAAACTCAAAATAAGCAGATCACCTTCCACGGATATTGAAAATCTAGATAAATAATTGGTTTAGGAAATGGAGTGTGTAACTCCGCCCCAATGCTCCTCGAAGTTTCCGTTGGACCCATTCATCATTGTTGGTGTTCATTCAGTGAATCCTGTTTCTCAGAGCTAAAGATCAGCGCAGCTGCCAGAAGGGGGCATGTCCATGCAATAGATGGCTTGCATTAAAGGGCTTTACACTATTTGCTTTGACAATTAGCCCAGTTGTAAATGTAGCATTAGGAATCAATTCAAAACCAAGCATTACTAATAAGTTTAGCTTGGAAGGTTAAACATTCACTAATAGCAGCTGAAAAATGTGTACATACCTGAACGAGGGAACAAAATGCACACGATAGCTCCGTTTCAAAGCCTAGTGAGCTGCCCTGCTTTTTGCTGTCTACATAGGCAGCTACTTTTAAGTAAGCATCCTAAACAATACAGAACCTAATAAGAGACTGCTTTGAAATGCTCTGGTGCTTCCTACTCAAAGCTAACAGGCTGCACAACCGATTCCAGTACAGTTTGCTGCATATTTTATATATATGTATGTATGTATGTGTGTATGTGTGTGTGTGTGTGTGTTATATTATTCATTAATTTTTCTATTTTTAGTTTTTATTTGTTTATTTTATGTGCTTTTGTAATTTTTTGTTTTTGTTTTTATTTAAATATTTTTATTTAGCTTACATTTATTTTTATTTTAAGTTTGAGTTTTGGTATTTTTAGTAATTTAACCTAAACACAATTTATTTCAGTTAGTTGCTAAGGCAAGCTTTCTAAGTTTAAATGAAGTGACATGCAATTGAAATTTATTTATTTTAATTAACATTTGGAGTGTTTAGTGTTACATTAGTATTATAGTATTTATTAATATTTAAAAAGAAAAATTTTATTTTTCATTTCAATTTTAGTTTTAAGTTTTAGTAATTTTGTTATGTGCTTCTGTCATTTTTATTATTTTCAAATATTTCTATTTCTATTTAATTTATTTTTATTTCAGTTTTAGTAGTTTCAGTGCTTCAAGTTTAAGTCATTCATCTCATTTTTAAAAAATGTTATTTTAATTTTAAACCGACCTATGTCTTTTATGTGTTTTACTTTTTATTTTATTGTTCAGTATAGTTGTGTAGTTGTTGCTTACATTATCTTGTCTTCAGCAGGCGCCTGAGGATGACACACAGCTGAAGTTGGACGTGAGACGTATAGAGGAGGAGAGGATCCAGGTCCTGAATAATATGGAAGAGTTAGAGCTGAAGATCAAAGACCTGGACAACCAGATGGAGGAGTCCATCAGAGAGGTACAGTAGACGCATCTACAGGTCATGCAGGAAGTGGGAGAGATCAGGAATGGTGCGAGCAGTGAAGGGAGAGTGTCTGTGTGGGAGAGTTGTGCATGTGGCAGAGTAATCGGGAGCTGTGATGAGGACCTCAGCTAGACAAGGAGGTCTGAACTGCCAAGACTAAATCTGTTTTACTTTCTCTCACTTAAAGCCTCACTTTCTCTGTTTTTCCCTTTAAATTATGCTCTTTATTCCTGTTTTGATTTCACTGAATTTCCACTGTAATGCACTTTCCCTTCCTGTCATCCTCATTTTTCCTATTTGTTCCTTTCTCTCCTTAAAGATCTACTGAGGTTTGAAGGCAGAGGTAAATTTGCTCTTAGAGATAGAGTGGTGTCTATTGATGTCAGAGAATGGATGCTACAATCATGAACTAAAATTAACAATAACTAGATTAGTAGTCTCTCCGTAGTGGTGTAAAAAAAATTGCTGTACACTCTTAAAAATAAAGGTTCCAAAAAGGGGTTTTCGCAGCAATGCCATAGAAGAATCATATTTGGCTCCCCAAATAACCTTTCAGTCAACAGTTCTCACAAGAACCATATTTTCTTAATGTGAAGAACATTTAAAAAATCTAAAGAAACATTTTTCACTATAAAAAAATATTTTTGTGGAATGGAAAGTTCTATGGATGTTAAACATTCTTCATGGATCCATAGATGGCAGTAAAGAATCTTTATTTTTAAAAGTGTGTAGCTAACAGTATTTCCTTCTAGCCAACTTTATGGTGTCTTGATCCCTACAAACTGCTTCTGTTCCATTGTTTTTCACTCTGTCAAGTTGGTTCTGAAAATAAGAATGTATCCTATTTCTATGCCCAGGGCCGTTTCTAGCCAATTTGACGCCCTAGGCGAAATCCCTATTGCCCCCCCCACAATTATATATATAATTCTTTTCATACACCAGTTGCTTGTCACATTCAACTTGGTTGTCATAGTAACGACACTAATTTCTGGAGATTCAGTGCATTGAGTTC